GAACCATCTCGCACCTGTGCTGGGGGCGTCTTGGGCCGTGTTGGGGCGATCTTGGGCGCGTCTTGGGCGGTATGCGGCCGATACGGTGACCATGCTGAGCATGTGTGCTCATCCACGGGATTTGTAACACTTTTTGTTGTTGTACCGCTGTAGAAACCCAGCGGTCATATCGCGCTCGCACGGCAGACGAGCGCCCGTGGACGGAATACGTATCTACATACACACCACTTACATCGCACACAGTGTGAGACAGCGTCAATTGAAATGCTTTCGTCTGGAAATTGGTTGTACCAGCTTGCCAAGAGTCGCTTCAAATTGTCCCTGGAAGCTCGGGCCTCGGTATGTTGATGACCTGGTACGAAGCCACACTACTTCAACCTTACGCCAAAGACAGCCGTGAGCTGGAGCCGCAGAGATGTGTTGAGAGACAGTCTAAACTTTCCAAGATATGTGAGGATGCATCAGGTGTGGTTAAACCACGCCGTTCAATATCGTTATCATCGGCAGCAGGTCCTGGATTTCAACTCAAACCAAGAAAACACTGTGGGGTCCTCTTGGAGCCTCTTGGCAATCCTCGTACTCGTGGCGTCAACAAGGCTCACAACACATGTGCGGCTGCCCAAAGCCGCACGAAGACAACTTTAACAGGAATCCCGTAGGAAGATATCTAATTGTTCTAGTTGAGTCCGAATAAGAATCCAATGGGGTTCCAATGGGCACCCAATCGCTGGGGACTCGATTGTCTCCCATATGGTCCCATGGGGAATCCCACGGGGTCCAATGGGTAGACTGCTGGGGTTGCAATCGTATTGAAAGGAACAGGCCAGGAAGCAGGAACCCACGGGGAATTCATCTGATTGGGTTCCAAGAAGAACCCATAACATAGCCCAATGGTAAAGATGCTTTGTGCTCGAGCTTCTTCTCACTAAAATATGAATAGGAACCCATTCGGGAAGAACCCGGTTGGATGCCAATCGGATTCCAACCTCTAACCATTATCGGATCATATTCCAATCGGGAAGATGCTATTGCATTTCCATTGGAATCCAATTCCATATACAACGGGTGCCTTATTGGATTTCACCAGAACCCCAACTGGAATCCAGTAGTCGTGTTCCAATCCATTTGTCGGATGTCGTCGGGAAGGGATTCCGTTAGAGAGGAAAGGAATCTTACTGCATTCCAATAGGGCCGCCTTGGGTTCCACAAGGACCTCAATTATTCTCAATGGGCACAATTCCATTGAGCTTCAGTCATGCCACCACTATGGGGATGACACTATACACACATATCTATATATATATATATGTATGTATGTACATATATATATATATAGAACTCCGTTAAGTTCAATCCCCAACAGGCAATGCTCCCAGACTTCGTGTGTCCACCTTTAGAACTCGCATGATCATTCAGAGCTCAAGAATTTCTTTCGCGCTTGACATGTACTTCGCGTGGATGCCGCGGATGAAGCCTTCTGCGGGCTATTGAACCTGCTTCCGAAATTGGAGCCCGTCTGCCGGAGATTAGACACTTCTGCCGGGGATTGAGCTCATCGCTCACGACACCCCCCACAATCGCTCCTCCACGAGGCTTCCGAAAAGGCCTCCCAAGCTATCCCCACAGGCATCCAAGAGGCCTCTGACTTACAGCATTGGCTTGGTGGCGGATGGGCCGAAGGTCATGCTATCTATATTTAGTTATGCTTAGAACAACTATTACACTTTTCCTACCTATCTGTTTACACACATGTATACGTATGTATCCATCTACATATGTATATGCATATGGACCGCTCTGCTTCTGCAGTTCTGCCCCTATTTCCCCCTTCGTCTCTATGACTAACCATATCTGTCACACAACCCATCCATAGCCTATCGGAGTGCCAGTGGGGCAACGGGCTTGACATGAGGCATGCAGGTGTTTGTACATGCGCGCACGCCTGTGAGCATGTTACCATGATCTGGGGTAGCGCAACGCGGCACGATCCGTTACGAGGCTGCGCAGTAAGCTGCGCTGGACTGCAGGTTCCCTTGCTCAGCAGCGGTTCGGTGCAAAGCAATGCATGACGACGCGGCGTGGTGATAATCTGGTGAGGTCCCGCGAGTGGACCCAATCACGCGGTGCGGCGCAAACGGCTTCGTACAGAAGCAAATGGGTTTCATGGTGCGGTCGGTTGATGCGCGTGCCTTTCTGTGGCGGCGCGCACGAGGGGGTGGCGCCAGGAAGCCATCCGGGCTTCCGATACGCCTTCTTCGAAGCCTCTGGGGCCGAAGGCACCCACCTTCTTAGAAGCCCTCGGCCTTCTTAGGAGGCCCCCGCCCTCGGGCCAATCCCCTTGTGCGCGCCGCTGGTCTCTGCGCGCTCACGCGTCCGACCCCAGAAGCCCTCGTGACGCTGCTGCTGGGATAACTTCAGGGGCACACCTTCACCGCAGGCTGATCCGGAGTAACTCGCTGTGGCCACGGCCGCAGTGAAGCGAGTACATGGCAAAGGGTAGCCACCCTCAGCAAGTTGCTCGGGAGCACAACCTGGCGGCGCGCACAAGGGGGTATGGGGGAGGGAGGAAGGCTTCTTGGAAGGAGGCTGCTTCTTAGCAGGCGCTGGCCCTGCATTCCTAGATGAGGCCCGCGCCTTCTAATGAAGCAGGGGTGCTTCTAAGAAGCCCTCCCCCCCTTCCCTCTCCGCCCTCTGCGCGTGGCTGAACACCTAGGAGGAGGAGGAGTAGGAGCAGGAGGAGGAGAGGAGGCGGTGGAGGTGGAGGAGGAGGAGGAGAGCAGGAGGAGGAGGAAGAGGAGGAGGAGGAGGAGGAGCAGGAGGAGGATGAGGATGAGGAGGAGGAGGAGGAGCAGGAGGAGGATGAGGAGGAGGAGGGGGAGGAGGAGGAGGAGGAGGAGGAGGAGGAGGAGGAGGAGGAGGTCACCTCCGCCAGACTCCGCCACGCCCTCGCCTTAGCCCCTGCCCCCGAGGCGACGCCCCCCGGGCCCCCGCGGGGGTCTCTCCCGCCGACCACGCGGAGATCAAAGCGGCGGCGGCGGCGCGCAAATGCCAGGTCGGACGAAAGGGGGCGATAGCAAGGGTATAGGGGCCCAAGGACACGCAAATACACACACACACATCCCAAGACTCCTCATACATTCCCAATGTTTTCTGGGTTTTCGTCTTCCCCCCATTCCATTTTCCTGTATTTTCCAGGGAATCGACGATTCATTGTGTCTGTGCGTTTTCTCCCTTCCTGGAGAGGGGGGGTTGAGGAATATGTCCTTTTTCCCCCTTAGCATAAGGAACTCCACTTCCATACTGCACATGCTCGAGCCACACTGAACCCTCGCCAGGGGGGAAGCAGCTCACGAAGCTGGTTTCCTGGCGCATCCTGGCACCAAGAAGCGTCAACGTATGGAAGAGAGCTCTCGGCGGCGGGGCCGAAACCGGCGGCGTGCAGCGGATTTCGTACCCTTAGGTCCAGCATGTCCTCCTACCGGCGGATTTTGGACGAACAGTGAAAACTAGTCCGAACATATTCAAACATAGTCACACCATAATCGAATACTCGTCCTCATATTATCTTTGACTATGTTGAAAATTCCTCATGTAGAGGGACATGCCCGAATTAGCCCATTCCTCAGTCCTCCCCCTCTCGTCCGACGCGAGAGTGGGGGTGGGTGGGGGCGGGGAGAGGCGGCCCTCCGAGCAGGCAGAGGAGGCCTCTTCGACGAGGCCAGAGGCCTCTGCGAGGGCTTCGGATCAGAGTCGGAGAGAGGAGGAGGAGGAGGAGGAGGAGGATGAGGAGGAGGAGGAGGAGGAGGAGGAGGAGGAGGAGGAGGAGGAGAGAGGAGGAGGAGGAGGAGGAGGAGGAGGAGGAGGAGGAGGAGGAGGAGGAGGAGGAGGAGGAGGGAGGAGGAGGAGGCGGAGGTGGAGGTCGTGGAGTAGAAGGAGGAGGAGGAGGAGGAGGAGGAGGAGGAGGAGGAGGAGGAGGATGAGGAGGAGGAGGAGGAGGAGGAGGCCTCCACGAGGGCCTCTGATCGGGCGCACGCTGACATGGATGAGGGGCCCACGGATCGGGGAAGAGGCATCCCCGAGATGAGGCCAAGGCCGCCCCTACGTGGCCTTCATCCGTGGTTTCGCTCCCTCGATCTGAGAGGCCCCCCTGCCATATGCTGCTCCCATCGTACTCAAGGACCGTTATCGAGCACCCAGAAGAGTATCGAAACGGTGTCGAACGAGCATCGCCTCCCAGGGCCCGAGACGTGAAAACCCTCCTGTTTCGGTACTCTCGTGGTGCTCGAAATTATCTCTGCTGGTTCAGGCTAAAGTAGGAAAGAACATCATAACCCTTGCCTTCTCAGGGGGCCACCGGTTCGCCCCCCCCCCCCCCCCCCCCCCAACCCTGGCGCGCGCGCTGCCGGCTCCTTCCTCTTCTCCCGGGAGCCACCGCGACATCCGCTGATCAGGTGCGGGGAGCGACTCGAGCGCGAGGCATGTGGCCCACCCCGGCCTTCCCGAGCCCCGAAGCAGTGGGATCTCTTTGGGGGGATGGCTCTGCTTCCGTCGCCTTGCACCGGCGGCGGAGCCGCCCCCGCTTTACGTCCGCCGCCTTCCGCCGAGGAAAATATGTCATCTCACTCGATCCTCAAAGTCGAGGCCCTTTTTGGAACGCCTCATGCTGTCAAGTCGACGGGGCCACGCGAGTCAGACGGACTCCCCCCCCCCGTCTGGCCAGGCCTCGAAAGACCTAGCGGCAGCACGGCACCGCCCCCGCCTCAGGCCTGGCAAGCTCGGCGCCGCAGGCGCGGCACTGACCTGGACCTCCAGGCGCGAGAAGGCCCGACTTCCAGCGCGGCCAACTTCCCTAAACCCCAGCGAGATCGAGACAACATCGCATCGGGATGCGTCGGGAACCCTGGAGGCCCGGCGGCTCTGGAGGATGCCTCGGGCGCCGCGACCTGCTCATGGCGCTCTGGACCGCTCTGGGAGCGACCTATCCCGAACCTGGGCCCAATCTACTCCCCACGCGCGGCGGGCTTCCCACGCGCGGCCAGCTTCCCACACGCCGCCGGCCTCTGGCGCACGACGGGCCGCGCGGCGCTCGCGGCGCCGTGCGCGGTGGTGGACGTCGCCTCGGGCGCCGGAGCCGCCTGCCTTCTCCGCTTGCCGTCCTGGCGCACCTTGACCCCTGTACGAAACTCATACGCACGATCGCTTTCACCCGCTCCTCGGGCCGCGCTGCGCCACGCCTGCTCGCAGAAGGACCCGGAGTCGCCGAGTGTGCTTCCAGGAGATGCTGCGCTGCCCGTCAGCTGTTCGGCGCTACGGTCGCGACCACGCAGCATGGCCTGCCACTTCTCGAACTCCTTCCTCTTCTTGGGAGGGATCTCCCCGTCGAAGCGGCCATGCGTCAGGTAGCCCTGCCGCGCGATCTCTCTGCTGTGCTGCCTGCAGTACTCCGACCCTGGCGAGGGCGAGTGGGTGCACTGGGCGCCCCAGCCTCCAGCCCAGATGCTCGGATGCGACCATGGGGGCGAACAGCCCAGGGGGGAACACCACATGCAGGTACCCAGGGGCGCCGGTGGTACCTCCTCCTCCTCCTCCTCCTCTCCTCCTCCTCCTCCTCCTCCCTCCTCTCCTCCTCCTCCTCCCCCTCCTCCTCCCTCCTCCCCCTCCTCCCCCTCCTCCTCCTCCTCCTCCCTCCTCCTCCTCCTCCCCTCCTCCTCCTCCTCCTCCTCCTTCCTCCTCCTCCTCCTCCTCCTCCTCCCCCTCCCCAAAGAGGCTTCCCAGCGACCATCTGTCATGCCCGCCCCCTTGGGCTGTTCGCCCCCCTCGTCGCCTCCGGGATGCGCGAGGCGCACAGGACGGAGCTGGGCGCAGCCCTCCCGGCGGGCGCGGGCCTCTTCCTCCCCGCCGCCGAGCGCAGCGCGGCGAAGCGCTCGTCGAAGCCCTCGTGGATCTCGAAGTCCTCGCGGAGGAGGTTCGCGCCTCGCCCCGGCGCGGGCTGGCCCGCCGCCGGGGCGGCGCTCTGCAGCAGCGCGCCCTGGCTCTGGATCCACTGGGGGTCTTCGTGCCTGGAGGCCGTTTTTTTTTGTTGTTGTTTTTTGTTTTTTCCCAACCATCCTGTGGTGTTGGGTCCTCGTTTTGAAGAGACGGTGCCCCGCGTTCTCCCTCCTTCCTTCCTCCCGCTGCCTCCCCGCGGCCGCATGCGTCCCCCACGCCCATTTCGGCACACCCCTCACACGTTTCGTGGCTCCATAGGGAGCTCCACCGAAGGCCCCAGTGCCCGCGGCCGCATGCGTCCCCCACACCCATTTCGGCACACCCCTCACACGTTTCGTGGCTCCATAGGGAGCTCCACCGAAGGCCCCAGTGCCCGCGGCCGCATGCGTCCCCCACACCCATTTCGGCACACCCCTCACACGTTTCGTGGCTCCATAGGGAGCTCCACCGAAGGCCCCAGTGCCCGCGGCCGCATGCGTCACCCCACACCCATTTCGGCACACCCCTCACACGTTTCGTGGCTCCATAGGGAGCTCCACCGAAGGCCCCAGTGCCCGCGGCCGCATGCGTCCCCACACCCATTTCGGCACACCCCTCACACGTTTCGTGGCTCCATAGGGAGCTCCACCGAAGGCCCCAGTGCCCGCGGCCGCATGCGTCCCCCACACCCATTTCGGCACACCCCTCACACGTTTCGTGGCTCCATAGGGAGCTCCACCGAAGGCCCCAGTGCCCGCGGCCGCATGCGTCCCCCACACCCATTTCGGCACACCCCTCACACGTTTCGTGGCTCCATAGGGAGCTCCACCGAAGGCCCCAGTGCCCGCGGCCGCATGCGTCCCCCACACCCATTTCGGCACACCCCTCACACGTTTCGTGGCTCCATAGGGAGCTCCACCGAAGGCCCCAGTGCCCGCGGCCGCATGCGTCCCCCACACCCATTTCGGCACACCCCTCACACGTTTCGTGGCTCCATAGGAGCTCCACCGTGGCTCCATAGGGAGCTCCACCGAAGGCCCCAGTGCCCGCGGCCGCATGCGTCCCCCACACCCATTTCGGCACACCCCTCACACGTTTCGTGGCTCCATAGGGAGCTCCACCGAAGGCCCCAGTGCCCGCGGCCGCATGCGTCCCCCACACCCATTTCGGCACACCCCTCACACGTTTCGTGGCTCCATAGGGAGCTCCACCGAAGGCCCCAGTGCCCGCGGCCGCATGCGTCACCCACACCCATTTCGGCACACCCCTCACACGTTTCGTGGCTCCATAGGGAGCTCCACCGAAGGCCCCAGTGCCCGCGGCCGCATGCGTCCCCCACACCCATTTCGGCACACCCCTCACACGTTTCGTGGCTCCATAGGGAGCTCCACCGAAGGCCTCAGTGCCGCCGCCCGCATGCGTCACCCCCACCAATTTCGGCACACCCCCCGCATTTCTCGCACGGCAGGGTCATCACCACGGTGGCGTGCCAGGGGCGCACCATGCGCGAAGGCGACGGGGCGGGGGAACGGCGCTCCGGGGGCGGCCAGACCTCCGGGGCGCGAGCAGTCCGCGGCCAGACCATCTCTCGGTCCTGTGGACTCTCGCCCTGGGCCGTCGGCTGCCCGGCGCGCTGCTCCCTCGGTCGACGTCGCCCAGGCGTGATCCTGGATTGCGGCCGCCACGAGGTAGGGAACGGCAAGAAGGAGGACGACGACTGGTGGCTGGAGCTCTATGTGCTGCTCTCGCGCGCCACGCGCCACGAGGACCTCCTGCTCACGCGGGCGCCGCGCATCGAGTTCTTCCTGGCAGGGCCGCCGCAGGGCTTGCGGAAGCAGCTGGAGCAGTTTGCGGCGCGCACGAAGCGGTGCAGGAGGGAAGCGACGGCCCTCGCCAGGGAGCTCGGCTTCACCGAGTTCATCCGCGAGGCCTGACCTGAGGAGCGTCTCCCCCGAGCCGCGCCTTCTCTCGACTGCCCGACTAATTGTTTGGCCTCGCGCCGCGGACGACCCGCGCGCGTCGCTGGGACCCTCTCGGGGCGACCAGCGCGCGTCGCGGGAACTCCGTGCTGCGGGGGGCCCGGCGCCTCGTTCGCCCGTCGTCGCTCTGCCCAGCGGTCAGAGACTTGCCCGCTATCAGCCAGCCAGTTAGCTAGTCAGCTCTCTCTGCTTCGCGCAGCGGACGACCCGCGCGCGTCGCTGGGACCCCGCCCGGGGCGCAGCCTTGGATTTTGGAGTGCGCGGGCAAAGAGGAAGGAAAAAAAGAGCCGAACGCGGGCGCGATCCTCGCAAGAGGCGCGCCGACATGGGCGTCGCGACGTGCGGACGCTGCCGTCGGGGTTCCCGCGGAAGCTGCCTGCGGCGGCCACGCCCAGTGTCACGTGTGTTCGGACAGGCATGCTCGACACTTACACTAGGCGGTTCCATGATCGCATTCATGCAAATATATTCACTCGCGCGCAGACCCATTCATACTCAGATTCCCTCGCGCTCTGACTCACCCGCGTTCTTTCTCTCGTAATCAGATCTATCGTATTCCTTTGCGTTGTGTGCCCCGCCACATTTCGGCACACCCCTCATGCGGTTCGTGGCCCCATAGGGAGCGCCACCGAAGAAGATACTCACAATTGCGATACTCACAACTGCATATGGTTGGGTCCTTCGCCAGGATAATTTTTGTTTTTCCGGCGGGCGTGACTTGGGGCAGGGCTGGACCTAAAAGCGTTTTGTTCGTTTTGTTCTCGTCTTGTTTTTCGCTTTGCTCTACCTGTTTTCCTGTACCTCCCTGCCAAAACGAACAATCAGACACAGCCGAAGTCCAGCAAAACAGCGTTTAGGTCCAGCCCTGACTTGGGGTGGCGTGGGGCTGGGAGACGGGGGCCGCTCACGTCATGATTTGCGCCGGCTCCGTCCAGGATGGCCTGAGAGCGGTCATTCCCAGACGGCGCCGCCGCGAATCGTGACGTGACGGGGGGGGGGTTACGGTCGCCATCGCGAATGATAAGAAAAACGGGCTCCTGCTGCTCCTCTTCCTGTCGACGTTCTGCGCGCCTCTCTGCGGGGGGGCGGCCTTCTCCGCCGCCTCGCCGTCGCCGTCGTCTGGCTCCGGCCCCACGCCGGGGACGAGCGAGTCCAGGTAGCTCGCGAACGGGCTTTGGTCCCCGGGGAAGACGTCAGCGCCCCTCATCGCCAGCTCGGGGTCCCTGGGTCCCCCCGTGCAGGCTGCTGGCCTCGAAGCGGTGGCGGTGGCCCGTGCGTGGAGGAACTCGGGGAGCTCCTCGAGGCCCTTGGCGCCTGGAAGGCCAAGCGCCTGGAACGCCTCTGCGGGCATCCACACGACGAAGGCGGTCTCGGCCTTGATGGCCCCAGCGAAGTCCCTGCACGGCACACAGAAGCGCCGCCCGTCCTTGGCCGCGAGTCCCATGACTTCGAGCTCGCAGTCCGAGGCAACCAGGGTGCAGGGCGTTAGGATAGAGGCGCTTCCCTCCTCGCGAACTAAGACGCACTGGCTCTGAAGCAGAACATGCACCTTCTTCCACGCAGCCAGCTTCGCGAAGTCCTGGCTCCACAAAACGCAGTGCTTGTGTAGAATGCCTCGTGCCGAAGAGAGAAACTTAACGCCGAGCTTCGAATCAGGAGCTTTCCGGATGAGAAGCGGGAACTCGTCGACCAGCAAGCTTGCCCCTCGGTCCTCCTCGGACTGCCTCTCCATAGCAGTCAAGGATGCTTGAAGCCCACCTGCATTCGACTGGCATCTAGTTTTGGCGCAGAATTCGCGATACCGAAAAACAGCCCCATCTTTCTGAACGTATCGGCATGTCCTCTCAACATCTTCATGCCCATCGCCAAACATCAATCGAAGGTCGGTGCTTCTGCGGTTCAGGCAACCCCAGAAAAATCCATTGCATAGACCAGTCCTCAGAGTGAGAGCACAATGGTACTCCGTGTTCCCCATGTAACTCACCAGCCCAACGGGCTAAAAGCATGCCAGATGCTTGCCAGCGTTGACCCAAACAGTTGGGGTTCTTGCTCTTTCGATTTGCGCTGTACTTGGTGCACTATATGGGATTCACTTTACGTGGTACATACCATTCTGAACATCATGAAAAAACTTGATGCTGATGTTCGAGCAAACATACGACCCGCGGAGGAGGGAGAGGGAGGGGGAGGAGGAGGAGGAGGAGAAAGAGGGGGATGATTGTGTTCGAGCGAGCATCCAGCCCACCCGCCAACGACCTGTTGGCACAACTCAACCGGCGCAGCGACGCGACGACCCTTCTCTCGTGCAGGTCCGTGGCTCTGGCGGGCGGGTGCTGGTGGTGACGACATCAGCGGCGCGAGGCTTGTTGCGCTGATGATGAGGGCGACCACAGTGACGATGACGATGATGACGACAACAACGGTGATGGGGGTGAAGATTAGGGTGACAGTGGCTACAATGGTGCTGGATATGATCATGATGATGCTGCTGCTGATGATGATGGTGATGGTGATGGTATGATGCTGATGATGATGATGATGCTGATGATGATGATGATGATGATGATGATGGTGCTGATGATGATGGTGATGCTGATGATGGTGCTGATGAGGATGACGAGGAAGCGCGCGCACAAAACATCTGACAGATGTTACATTGAGGAAGCAACCTGTTTCTCACATATTTTTGAACACATCAGAACACATCTTGAAATGCTTAGAATACCCGTGGGTTTGCAATGATTTCGACAGGCGCGCGCGTGCGGCTTCAGCCAGTCAGCCAACCAGCCAGCCAAGCAACCAACGAACCAGCCAGCCGGTAAGCCTAGCAAGCCTGGTTCACAGCCACCTGGCTAGCCCACCAGCCAGCCAGCCAACCGACAAATCAAACACAACATCAGCTAACCAGTCAGCCAACCAACCAGCCTGTCAATCAGTCAATCAGCCAGCAAGACAGCCAGCCTACCAAATGTCAAGGACACCAGCGCAAGAGGCGAGCCGAAGGCGCTCTGGTGAACTCAGAGGGTGCACTCGAAACCCGATATCCATGGTGCTCGGGTACCCAGGCAAACGGCAATACTTAAACACGATGGGCTGGCGGAGTGCACAGAGCGTTTGAATAAGGATTGTCGCTCACGTTGAGCGCCCACAAGAACAATCCTAAGCGCCGCATCTTTCGACCTGCGTCTTCGATGAGGGCGATGAGTCCTCCAGCGTGCAAGGGCTTAACGTCCGCACGAACTGTTGGGTTCCCATGCATTCTGAGGATCTCTTCGACATCGTCATCGAGAGACACCACGTGCTGCCCCTCCGGGAAGAAGTCCGTGATGAAGTTTCTCTGGCGCCAGAGGCCAGGCACCCCCGTGATGATGTTTGGCCAGCGGCCGCCCAGCTCGGCGGTGTATCTTCCGTGCTCATCGGCGTCGGCGACGAAGATGTACACCAGGTCCCGCGAGATTCCCTGCCTCTCCAGCAGCGCGAGGGTCATAGATCGGGCACTGACAGAGGCGATCCTGGCCCGAGGGGTCCCCAGGGCTGCCACGGAGCTCCCGACGGCCCCGACGGGATCTGAACGAATCCCAGAGGGGATGCCCGATGGTCCGAAGTGGCCCCGTGGCCGAGGACACACTGGGCCAAGGGCACGCCCGCAGGCCTCCGACGACTCGACCCTTGGCGTGGGGGGCTCCCAGGGCTCTCGACACCCTCCCGGGGGCAACGTTTTCCTCCCTGGCCGTTTGTGATGTGGTGGTCCCGAAGCCCCAAGCGGGCCCCCCCCCACGTCACAAACTTCGGAAAAGCAGGCCGTCTGGATTGCTCCACGACGCCTGGGGGCCTGGGACACCTCTGTCAACACCCGGACATCGACGAGCAACGAATCGATAAGCTTTCGAACGTCCGCGCGGATTGCTTGAGTCGGTCATGAGCCCCCCCGCGCGCCAGTAGAGGGGTGTCCGACGCCACCCGCGAAATCAGCGCGGACCTTCAACAGCTTATGCTTATATACGGTCGTGAACTTTTGCTTAGCGCCATGCTCTGCGAGCGGATAGCGTGTCGCTCGGCTCCGCGGGGCTGGAACTTCGGAAAAGCTTGGGACCATGACGCTGGGAATCTGGAAAGTGGATATCGTGTCGCACCGAAGCGTGGTGGGCCAGAAGCGGCGGTGCGACACGCTAAGCCAATGTTCCCAAACGTATCCATCTCTTTGCTCATCCCACATAGACTTGATCATGTTCTCTCGGCGATAGCTCGGAATCGCGATCACGAAGTCAAGCCCTCGGGGTGCCGTCGCCGCCGCGGCCGCCATCCGCGGGGAAGTCGGGTGCGGGGCCGACCAGCCCGAGGACTCCCTGCTCGAGCCCAAAGGGCTCCTCGCCCCTTGTCTCAAATTGCTCAATCAGTCTCCCCCGAAGACGGCCTGAGAGTGGCGCGCCCCTCACCCCGTTTCGTGCTTAACACACAGGATGGGTCCGACTTGATCTCGTCCATCCTGTGTTGAGTTGGACCCTCGTTTTGAATCAGCAGCGCCCCACGTCCTCCTCGTCCTCCTCCTCCTTCTCCTCCTCCTTCTCCTCCTCCTCCTCCTCTAGCTCCTCCGCCTCCTCTTCCTCCTCCTCGTCCACATCATCGTCCTCCTCCTCCTCGTCCTCCTCGTCCTCCTCGTCCTCCTCGTCCTCCTCCTCCTCCTCCTCCTCCTCCTCCTCCTCCTCCTCCTCCTCCTCCCCCCCCCTTATCCCCCCTTTTCCTGTCGCTGCCTCCCGCCATTTCTGCATCTGCCCTCCGCATGTAAAACATTTCGGCGCACCTCTCACACATTTCGTGGCCCCATAAGGAGCTCCGCCGAAAGCCCCAGTGGCAGCGCCCGCACGGCACCGCCGCGCCCATGTTGGCGCACCCCTCACACGCTTCGTGGCCCCATAGGGGGCTCTGCCTAAGGCCCCAGTGGCTGCGTTCGCATGCCGCCGCCATCCGACTTTGGCGCACCCATCACACGTTTCGTGGCCCTATATGGAGCTCCGCCTGAGGCCCCAGAGGCTGCGTTCGCATGCCGCCGCCGCCCCACTTTGGCGCACCTCATACGTTTCGTGTCCCCGCATGGTGCTCCACTCAAGGCCCCAGCGGCTGCATTCGCATGCCGCCGCCACCCCACTTTGGCGCAATCTTTTCGAGTTTCGTGGCCCCATCGGGAGCTTCGCCTAAGGCCCCAGTGGCTGCGTTCGCATGCCGCCGCCACGCCACTGCTGCGCGTCCCTTACACGTTTCGTGGCCCAACCTGAGGTCCCAATGGCTGCGTTCGCATGTCGCCGCTACCCCACTTTGGCGCACCCCTCACACACAAGTCGTGGCCCCATACAGGAGCCGCCAAAGGTCCCAGTGGTTGCGCTCGCATGCCGCCGCCAGCCCACTTTGGCGTACCATTCACACGTTTCGTAGACTCCACCCAACGTCCCGTTGCGCCCGCATGCCGCCGCCACCACACTTTGGCGCACCACTCACACGTTTCGTGGCCCCATAGGAAGCTCCGCTGAAGGCCTCAATGGTTGCGTTCGCATGCCGCCGCCGCCCCACTTTGACGCACCCCCCACACGTTTCGTGGCTCCATACGGAACTCCGCCTGAACCTCCATTGACAGGAATCGCATGCGTGACCGAACCCATGTCCGCACAGCCCTCACACGTGGCTCTGTATGGAACTCTACCTCAGACCCCATTGGCAGGAATCGCATGCATGACCGTACCGATTTCGGCACACCCCGCGCACATTCGTTTCAGGGCCCATAGGGGGCCCCGCCTAAGGCACCAATGGCTGGAATCGCATGGGTGACCGCGCCTGTTCCTGCACACCCCTCGCACGTTTCGCGGTCCCTTAGGGGAGCTCCGCCGAATGCCCCATCGGCAGGAATCGCATGCGTGATCGTGCCCATTTTGGCACACCCGTGGCTCGTTTCGTGGGCCCACAGGGAGCTCCATCAAAGGTCCCGCCGCCTGCTGCTCCCCAAGCCGCGCCCGGTTGCTTCGCAAGGCCAGGCCGACAGACGCTCAGATTTGGTGTGACGGATTACATCTAGATGCAACCCTTTGCGGCTGACCCCTGCGAGCCCATCAGCAGCGTCGCTCCGACCTTTTCATGCACGCCTTGATCATGCTGCTCGCCCCCTCCCACAATTTCCACCTGTCTTGCGGCACTCGCAGCCGCACGTGGTTGGACCCTCGCCGGGCTATTTCTCGGATGCCTCTCTATCCAATCCGAGTGTTCTCGGTCCTTCCAAAGTTGTGCCCCCGCTGCAGCGTGGGCCTCATTTTTGGATCGGAGCTTCGCCCCTGTCGTTCAGAATGGCGCTCTCGCCCCTGGCGCGAGCCACTTTTCTGTTCCTCCGCCTTTCCCTGGCGCTCCTGCTCCTCCCGCCCCTTCAACTCCTGCTGCTGCACCTCCGCCTCCTATTCACGCGGCTCCCCCTCCTCCGACTGCGCATGACACGAGGGGGTCCTGGAGGCCAGGTCCGTTGTAACACGTGTCTGCGGATAGGGAGAAATGCAGCGCACTGGCAAGGGATGGGTGGGAGGGGCAGGATGTCAGATGTGGCGCGGGCGCACCTAGCTTGCCTCCACCTCCCTCCTTCCTCTCCCCCCCACCTCTCTCTTCTTCCTCCCTCTCCTCCTCCATCCTTCTCCTCCTCCCTCCTCCTCCTTCCTCTTCCTCCTCCTCCTGCTCCTGCCCCTCCTCCTCATCATGCTGGTCCTCTATTTCCGTTTCTGTTTCCCATGCCTGATGGGCCTGTTTTCCACCACCACCACCACCGTAAGTTGGAGGGGGGAAGGACGAGGAGGAGGAAGAGGAGGACGAAGAGGAGGAGGAGGAGGAGGAGGAGGAGGAGGAGGAGGAGGAGGAGGAGGAGGAGGAG